TATATGTTTTGAAAAGGCCTCAGAAGTTGGTACGCAGCAGTTACCTTTATTGCTTTTATGTATAAAAATTTCTTATTGCTGGAATCATGTCCCTTGTTAAATTAGCGAACGTATTGATGAGTTCTTCATCATTTGATAAATCCTGTGCATACGATATCAGATTACATTAGTTAAAGCTTAACTGAATATAACTTTATTGAGCAATATAGCCAATAATTTTAATATTCTTACTTCACCAACGATAACACTGACCGCAGGTATTGCCACTATTTGCAGAAGAAATTGTTGTGGAGATTTAATACATTTCCGATCTATAAAAAAAAACATAATAAATAAATAGGTAAATAAAATGTACGAGTTTCATAAAGAAGAACTTATTTACCTTTGCATTCACCAAAAAACCTGTTTATTGATTTTTTTAATGCATCCTGAATTCTATTTGTATATTGCTTCAGATCATTAGACAATTCATCACGAACAACCTTTGAAATTTTTTCAAAGAAAGCATGTGGTTGTCCTAGTAACAAATCAAGTGGGAGAGTCTGAAAAGTTATAAGTTAGTCAATCAAAGATTAAGCAATACAGAAAAAAACAAAAAGATTAAAATAATTAAAATAGAATCATGATGATATTAACATCGAAGACAGCTTTTAAGAAATTAAAGTTTTGATGATCGCTAATAACTTCAAGACTAGGTTCTTTGCCAACTATAGTTATTATTTTTCCAAAGACGTAAAGGGAAAATATTTCTCCATACTGGTAAGAATTTGAGTTAAGATGTTATTTGCACGATTTAAATTCAGCGGAATATAGGAGAAACAAAAGAATATATATATTATATTTATATTTATTTTTTATTTTATTTTTTTTTTACCTGTTTACGACACTTTTTGATAAAATTTTCAGTATTTGTAAAATAATCGATAGTATGACCAATGAAAGGAAAAGCATAATGTACAAGTGGCGGCTCATTCTTAATGAAAAGATTATTGACAGTAAATAAGAAATTTTTATACATAAAAGCAATAAAGGTAACTGCTGCGTACCAACTTCTGAGGCCTTTTCAAAACATATA